AGTCCTGTCCCACAATTATGATGAGATGTATGCTTGGACCACTCTGGCATCCATTGTGCTTAATGAAGAAGAGGTGTGGAAGGTAGAGATGTGTATTATTTTCTTTTGGTTTTTCATGGAAGGTATTTTTGCTAGCGTAAATTTTCTTATCTTGTTGGCCTTTTAAAATCAGTGAGGAATTTCTCCCCTCTGATATATATCTTAGTTTCTGGGTGCATGTTTTTCTTCTCATTTTGCATCATGAAAGGTTCTCCATGACTGAACAGGTTACTCAACCAAATGAGCTGGTATTTTGCAGCTCTGGGCATGCATTTGAACCACTTGGTTAATATGTCCTCTGTGTGTACTTAGGGTTGGGTTGATTTCCCCCAAGTCAGATTGGCAGAGATTTGAAGAGTTCTTCACATTTCCATCAAACTCATGCCATATCAAACTTTCTGAGGTCATTTGGATGTAGTTCATGTGTTTCCCTATACCAGAGTCTTTTGAGGGACTCTCAGTCTCTTTTGCTTCTTGCCTGAGATATGTATTCAGCTTTATTGAAGAAAAAATAAATTCTGTCCCTGAAGTATCTAGGTTTGTTACTGAGATTTTGTGTGGACAATAGCTAGCTCTTGTACACAGAAAGCCAGCTGCTGCAGTTTAATGGTTATAGGCAGACTAATGTTTAGCAAAGTCAAATTTAAAAAGGAAAACCACCCCTCTCCCAGTAACCTTAGAGACAGATCAGATGAGGAACATGTAATTAAATGTATTCATTATAATATCCCATGAATATTTTTTCACACATGACAATGGAGAAAGAAATGCTTATTCTTCACACTTCAAAAAATAAAAGATGATCCTTTGCTACAAACAGCAATGCATAGAAATATTTGCAGATCACTGTATAACTGGTTCAGGTGAAAAAAGATAAAAGCCCAAACTTGAGGAGAGCAACATTATGTTGTATACTGGATTGAACATTTCTGTAAAATCAAGTACTGTTCAGATGTCAGAATTTCTAAAAGTAATTAATTTCTAAAATTAATTAATTTTTGGAGGTTTGGAATCAATTTTGAAGAAGGTCTGAGAAAGCGTTGTATGTAGTGAGAAAGCAAAGACTTTTGACACGTATAAATTGTTTAATAGAACGTTAAATTACTTGGTAACAAAAAATACCTAGAATTAAAAAAAAGTTACTTTTTACATTGCTTATGATGTTCATACAGCAGAAAAATGACAAAAGAAAATGCACTGCCTGGGTGCTGAAGCAAAACCAATTCAGACAGGAAAATTTAATACCAGATAATATTAGATACTGGATTAAGAAGAAGCTATGCTGGCTGCGTTTCACTTTTATATGAAGGCAACATAGTTTTCAGTGAATGGATCAGAGCTCAGACAGATGTCTGCCAGAACAAGTTCTTCAATCCTTGCTAGTGATCTAGTGATCAGCTGAGATAATCAGAACCGTTGCTTTTGCAGAGAAACTGAACTAATTTCTTAGTCACTTGGCCACTGACTATCTTCTACTGATACTGAAGTACTCACACAGGTATTGCCATGCTGTTCTATAGTTCAAGAGTCCATATATATATTACGTAGTGAATTCCAGTCGGGGCTCAGAAATGCATGGTGCATCCAGCAGGGCTTTTCATGTTGCACAGATTATTTTATATAATCTATGAAATTATATTGCCGTTTTACAGGAGGGTTGCCTGGTATGCTGAACATCATCTCTGTGTAAACAAGGATGAACTGTGCGCTCATGAAAACACAAATATTTTAAAGTCATAAAACTGTGGGTTTTTTCTGTTGATATGCTTTACCTTTCCCTCTAAATATATTGTTTCTTACTTTTCATAATTGTCCTTTTAAAAGAAGAAAGTAAACATGAATGCATTTTATAAAGAACTTCAGGAAGTACAGAGAGGAATTTTCCGTATGAGCTACTTAATGGTTTCAATTTGCATGCAGCAGTAAAAATAGAAGCTCAACAACTGATTTCTGTATTGCAGTTTAGGAAAACATTGCACAATTAATTTCACATAAGATTTGCAAAAAATCTGTTTTAATCAGGATATGTTTAAGATTGTTAAACAGATTCAGAATGCTAAGCTATGCCATATACTTGACTACAACAGTTAATGCCTTAGAAAACTCTGAGCTCCATTTCAAAAACATGTACCAACTACCTGACTTTTTTTCCCTCACTAAGTTATCCCATCTTGTCTGCGATACTTTCACTGAAATATTTTTATCAGGATGGAGAGTATGTTCTGTGTTATTGAAAAGAGTATATTTTAATTCCTTTTAAGTATCAGAGATTTCCAAGGCTTTAAGAAACTTGATTTATAGAAGAAACATTCATTAACTGTTGAGTAAGGATGCTTGTCTTAAGAATACAGGCTTGTAGACTGTTTTGCTAGAATGACCTTTCCAGCAATACACATCTATATATTGCCTTGTGATTATGCCAGACAGTAATTTAAGGCTGGGGGCCGGGGGCGGGGTGGGGAAGAGAGAACTATCCTTTCTTACAATTTATACTGAGCAATGCAGAAGTCTTCAGAAATAGTAATTCTTAAATTTGTATGTTAAGATTCCCCAGTTCCGCTTACTTAAACATTTTTGCCCATTTAAAATTAATGGTAATTTTACAACCATATAAGCAACATTTACATGTTTAAGTTCATTTGTATACTTCAAAATTCAAAGTTTAATAACCTGAAAAATAAACAAAACAGAGTCATGCTTCTACAATATGTTCATTGGTCTGAGTTTTACCCTGTAAAATTAATGGCTTCTTGAGATACTAAAATTATTCTTGTGTACAGCATAGTTACAGTAATTAGAATGTATGGTTGTTCTTTCATGGTGTTATTACAAAATAATAACTTGTCTGTATAAGACAGGCTAATCAGTAGATTTCTTTCTCATTTTAACAGAGGTTCTCTTGAATTATTTTGCTTCTTGAAGGTAATTTTTGAAGGCTCAAAACTGAAACAGTACAATTTTATCAGATGTTAGGAAGAGATTTACTGTGAGGCACTGGCACAGGTTGCCTAGAGAAGTTGTCTCATCCCTGGAAGTGTTCAAGCCAAGGCTGGATGGAGCACTGAGCAACCTGTTTTAACCTGTCTACCTACTTTTGGCAGGCGGGTTAAAACTAAGACCTTTAAGATCCTTTCCAACCCAAACCATTCTATAATTGCATCACTTTTGTGAATAATTTCTTACATCTGTTTTTTAGCTCCCATGTTTTCATGCTATCTCTACACTTTATTTTTTCCTAGGAAAAAAGTTGTATTTTTACCAAGGCAATTTTAAGATATGTAAGTGTATTTTATTTTCTTTCATTCTGTAATATTTCTGAAAATATATCCTTAAAAGTAAAAATATTTTTACATTTGCAACGTTTTATATGCATGCTACAGCACTGTAAACATAAAGGTGACACTATTTAGAAGTATAAATTTATGTTCAGTGATCAAAACTGAATAATCTGAAAAGAACTGATTTGTTTTGGATAAAGGGATAGAATATAAATAAAAACTTACATGGGTCAAGATATTTTCTGAAGTGTATGTGTAGGAAAGATAAATTGCAATTATGGTATAGCAGGCATGGTTCATCCTCTGTATCAAACTTTAATTTCTTAAGCTTTATTTTAATAGTGCTGGTTTATAGGTAATGTGTTTTATACTTTATTCTTTGAACTTGTAATGCTTTTTTGCAGTAATCCAAAAGATGTGCTTAAAATTAAGTGATACAAATTTTTTTTCTCCTTTTTTGAGGATGTTAGAGATTTGTAAGAAAGACATGCTAATTATGACCAGAATTATGTCAGTTTTCCTACTTGTGTTTTTTTAAACATACACGCACTGCATAATATATTATAAAATTTAGTTGTGTCATTCTGACACCAGTGAAAAATGGTCTGTTTCTTTTCAAGTGAAGAAAATTAATAGGGAGTGAAATGATGGAAATTTTTGTGTTAGCTTTAGAAACATCTCTACTATAGAATTACTATTTTTGCAGGCATGCAAGAACCACAAACTAGCAGTTTGTTATGCATTAGAAGCTTTAAATGTTGCATAGTGAGATGTGCTGCAACTGAAATTAATGAGATGAATTGGTCCTGACTGGTAGAATTTTAGAAAGCCTATACTTCTGATATTCACAAATATTTAGGTCTAATTGAAATCAAGTGTCTATAAAAATGCTGGTGTCAAATAGAATAGATCTTTTAGTCTCCCTTAGGTTACAGTATACCATGAGAACATGATAGATGAAAAGCTTGTTTTCTGTTCATATAAATGTAGCTTTCTCCACAGATGCAGTACTTGATTAGGTATAGAAGTACTATGCCCCATGGTTATTGGTTCCCCGCAGGAATTACATCCTATTTGGGCAGACTTACAGTATTTTTAGTATATCATACATTTACTCATGGCAGAAAGGTAAAAATATATTTCAGAAATCATTTCACTTTTTGCATCACCATGAGCAAGGCAGAGCAGACTGAAATTTCCCTGCATGTCTTTCCTGTTGCTCTATAGGTTGGGTTGATACTGAGAGATGCCTCTGTTATACTGAATTACTAAAATCCAGAGAAGCTTGGAGCTGAGGCAGGGATAGCTAGCAGAGGTCCTGAGAACCTCACAGTGACCCTTTTGCTCTGTGTGCCACAGGGAGCAGATTCAGCTGGTTCTGTGCTTCCCAGGCCAGTGCTGCACTCTCAGCTGGCTGGTCCCTTTAGGTCTCAGTGTGCCATCTGCAAAATGTAGGATGTACTCTCCTAATTCAGCCACGTGCAGGGAGGATAGGTACATTTTTACAGTCTAAATGGTTTGAACCCTGCAGCAACACCCATGCTGAGAAATCAGGCCTTGCTGAGCTACCCAGCCATAGCAGGCTGGAGGTCTCTGCATGCCCTTTTACCCTTCTGTTCCTTGTTTGCTGTTGCAGATCACTGTGCACGCTTTCCTTTCAAATAATTTCTTTCTCTTTTCTAGTTTGAGGGTTGCAAGAAAGCCTTTTCCAGACTAGAAAATCTCAAGATTCACTTGAGGAGCCATACGGGTGAAAAGCCGTACCTTTGCCAGCACCCTGGCTGCCAGAAAGCTTTCAGCAACTCCAGCGACCGCGCCAAGCACCAGAGGACTCACTTGGACACTGTAAGGACACAGAAGTCCCATTGCAGCCCTCTGAACATTAGAGCATCTGCTCCTTTCCTCCAGCTTGGTGACAGCAGGCATAACCTTAGAGACAGGAGGGTGGACGGTCTGATGGGGCTGTTGAAGCTGCCTCAAAAGTGACCCACTCATCTAAGCATGCAGGAAGATGGACCCTGGATGGTTGATAAAAAGACCACAGGTTCCATGGTCTTTGCTGCAGGTAGAAACAGTAGCTTTCTCCCACTTAGTTGATCTTTAAGGAAATTGAAGCCATCTGCAATATAAAGAGCTTTTCTTTGATGAAAAGTTAAGGGTGGGGCATGTACCAGAAAGTCAAGAGAGATAGAATGATTTTGTAAATCTAAAAATTTTTGTGCCAACAGATTGTCCCCTGTAAATTTGAGTGATGGCTGAGATTTGTTTAAAAGCCTCTGTTTCACAGAAAAAAAAATTGTGTTTTCTCAAAGACAGTTTCCAAAGGGTGAAAGTCCAGATATATTATTAAAACAATGCCGTTTGAATTAAATGGCTGTAAAAAAAAAGTAAATTATCCATTTTGAATAGCCAAACCTATGGCTGGCAAGTTAATAATTTGTACAAGGTGTTTTCAGAAATTCTTTGTAGAACATAAGTGAATAAATTGCTGAATGGCTACTTCCAGGAAACAGTTGAACTTAATGTTCATTTAATACTATGTATTGTGAACCTACAAGTCTTCAGGCAAGACAGACAGCTTAGAACAGGCAAGATAAGATATTTATATGAGTTAGATTTATTGGGCCTTCTTTTAAGAAAAACATAAAGATATTACAAGACATTTTACAGGTATTTTTCTAAAATGAAGCATTACAAAAAATGTGAGCTGAAGGAGCTGGTCAGTACTTCACATTAAGATTTTTTTTTTAATGTAGTACTTTTGAAACTTCAGTATTCAATGCTTGGTTGAGGTTTTGCTTGCCTTCTTTGTAATATAATAAACTAACACTTTTTCTTGTTCTCTTTTTCTGAAGCGGATCCTTCTATAATCTTAAACAGTCTTTCCGGGCCTTTACTGCAGTTTCTTTACCTGATTCACTAAAGACTGTAATTTCTGATTAAGTCAAAGATTGCTGAGGGTGGAAAAATTGTAAGTATACCTAGCAATATTCACTACTAAGAAAAAAAAAAGGTATCATGAAAGATGCTGTAAAGAAAAGTCTCCTTTTGTTTATCTTCCTTTAAAGCTTTACTTCATCCTTTCCTATTCTAACAAATTGTGAAGCTTTCTGCATGTAATAATGTACAATGTTTTTGTTCTGTAGTAATATGGTTTGTAGCAGCCCAAGGCTCAAAAAGTATTCTCTTGAATTAAACTAATCTGTGATATAAAAGTAACTTTATCCTTTTTTTTTTTTAATTTAGAAACCTTATGCATGTGAGATTCCAGGATGTACTAAGCGATACACAGATCCAAGTTCCCTGAGAAAACATGTGAAAGCCCATTCTTCCAAAGATCAGCAAGCTAGGAAAAAGGTGATTTTTCTGCTGTCTTGGCCGGTGTAAATTTTATGTGAAAAAATTAGTGTTATAATATTAGATGTTTCAATGCATCTTTGAGTACTTGGGTTGATTTCAAACTTTAAATTAGAATGTGGTTTGTATGTAGATAATTTCATCTCTGACTTAATGGTTTAATGCTTTATGTTTTCTGCTGTAATGGTTAATCACTAAACAAACACAACAAGGCAAGTAAAAATAATTTTTGTAAGCATAAATTCTTGGTTTCAAATTCTGCCACTTGGTCAATACATAGTATTACAAAATACTGGCCAGTCTCAGATCGAAGGATGGATTTTGAGGCCAGTATGTGGGACTAAGCTCTAAACTGTATTTGCATATTCCAGATACTTCCAATGATACCAAGATATTTCATAATGCTGATTCCCTGTGGATATCAAGTCCATGAGTCATCAACTGATTTATATGTATAAGTGCATTTCTAAAGAGCTGTGTTGCTACCTAAAGAATTTTTTTTGAGCATTTTTCATCATAGCTCCTATTAATCACAGGCATAATGTTTACAAGGTGTAACACAGGTATTTACTGGACCTTTGTGAAGTTATAATTACTAACTAACATTATGCTTTTGTATTTGAAATATTTTCTAACAGTAATAATAATGAAAAATAAGAATAACAAATCTTTTAATGAAGAATTAAGGTTATTTATGGATTTAATTAAAAGTGAAAATTGGCTTAATGCCGAAAAGGTAATTATGAAAATGTGAATTCATCAAAAATAACCATAAAAATAACCATAAAAATTCCAAGGTGATAAAGGCCCAGTGGACTAATACTTCAAGCCACAGGGATCTTTTCTGTTGAAAAGAATGAAACCCTTTGCTGTCACACCCCGTTAGTCATGGATTCCTCTAATATATCGTGCCTGGCTGGTTTTAATCCTCTCTTTAACCTCCCCCTGCATACCGAGTGACATTGTTGTGTCATCTTAAGTTGCTGACTTTCCAAGACTGTACCTGTAAATGTATCTTCGATGTTGCATAGACTTGAAAAATAGGATGTAGTCCATTTGTATGAGTGGAATCTTATGTGTTATGCTGATGTTTACATTGAGTCTTCACTGCAGATTCTGTAGATGTTTCTTCAAAGATTTGACTCTTTCCTTGGCTCTCTAAGATGGGATTATGCAATGGGATATAGGTAAATTTCCATCTTTCAATTATTTTAAGCAACTTCTGTTGATGTGTGTCTGTGACTTATCACATAAGACAAAACTATTTTTCTGGAAATCTGTAATGCAGCCACTGTTCCCCTTCACTTCCCAACCCTTAGTTATCCACTAAATACATTTAACTTGGAATCTCACCAGGTAATGGCATGAAATCCTATATACCAAGAAGATCCCAGCACAAATGCATTTAATAAAAGTGATTTAATGGATAGTATAATAAAATTTCATTTACTCTACAAAGAAAAGCAGACCCATGTGAGAGTAAAGATAGTCATGCCTGCCTTAATCACCTTTGTGTATTTTGAAAAATTATTCATAAAAATGAGGGCAAACATGTACACAAATACCATGCGACTATCTGGGAACAGATGCTGAAAATGTTTAGTAAAACATTTTAGGTGTAATCTCTATGCACCATAATATTCTGTCTGTAATTTTAAAATATTTTAGTGGGGTAAAAAGCAGTGTTTACTATCATATTTTTAAAAGGAAAAATTGCTGACTCTGGCAGGATTTCATCTTTTCATTGGGAAGATAGATGAGATTTCATCTACGGCAGGAAGTCACTGAAAGAAAGCTAGACAGTTCCCAAAATGAGAGATTAAAGTGATGCTGAGAGGAATGTTAATGTACAACATGCCCCTCAACTACAATTACTTCTGAAATGTGTTCTCTTTTTAATCTTGTTCTCATTTCAGCTTTGAAAGGACAACAATTTACAAGATTTTTTATAAGCTGACTAGACAAGTAAGGCTATTTTCAGTGGCTACACTTTTTTTATTTCAGTAAGGTACAAATGTCTTTCATCTGTGACCTGATGGTACTTTATTGAAAATCAAGAATCCATAGTTCTTTTAGTTTGTAAGTCTTTTTATTGAAGATAATGAAAATGAAATTATGGAACATTGTGATACCACAACAGCTGGATAGAAGCTTTCTAACATGGTTTTGAGTGTTAGAGAGCAAGCATCCTTTACTGCAGTTGCTGGACACTTGGAGGATCCTGTCTCCAATTGCATGCCCAAGTGTCGGGTAAACAAGGTGTTTATGATCACATATTCATTAGCTATACCCCCTTACTGGATGTATATGTTTTACTTTATTTTACATAGTCTCATCTCTTATCAAAAGTCCTCATAGATTCCTTGAGGTCTGTCTTCAATGTCCCATGTCCTCTTCAAATGTCTGGTCCTCAACCCCCATTTTTGAGTAAGTGCAATATCATTTTTTTGCATAACTTCGGCCTCACAGAGCTGAGCTGGTATCCTGTTTGTGTTTTGCATGGGTTCTATTTGCCAAATAGATACCAAATGGTATCTATTTGTCCAAGGCTGTGCTGTTCTCTTCTTCTGTCCTTGATAAGAGTAAAATGTTGTTCTGTTCTACAGATATCATTCAAATCATTCCACTCATTATCATGTCCATATCATATTGATAACAAAATTCAGATTCTGTGCTGTTGGATCATATAAACACAGGATGGGTTAGGTTGGAGGGGGTCACAGTGGTCATCTGGTCCAACCTCCCTGCTCTGTCATCCCGGGTCACATTGCACAGGATCGTGTGAGACAGTTCTTGAAAGCTAACCAGGGGGACTCCATGGCCTCTCTGGGCAGTCTGTTCCAGTGCTCAGTCACACTCACAGTGAAGAAGTTCTCCCTGGTGTTCAGGTGGAATTTCCTGTGCATCACTTTCTGCCTGTTGCCTCTTGTCCTATTGCCTGGCACCACTGAGAGAAGCCTCTGACACCCTCCCTTCAGAGACATACAGGCTTTGAAGAGATCCCCTCTCAGTCACCTCTTCTCAAGGAAAACAGGTCCAGCTCCCTCAGCTTTTTTGTAAAAGACTCAGGGGTTTGAAGCCTGTGTAGAAGGTCAATATCACTGTTATGGTCTTCATGAAGATCCATTTGTTGTGTAAGATAGCACTTAGCCTTGTACAAGTATGAGATCATTGTTTTTTCCATTCAAGTATACCAGGAAAAGTAATTTGCTACTTCTGTGGCAGCCATGCTGAAGAAATCTATGTTTGTAAAGCTAAAGAAAATATTTAATTCACTTTCAAATACTGCAATGCAATTCCTACAGTGAATGGAATGGAATGGACTTTCCACTGGCTTTGTATATCTTGTCATGAATATCTGTAAAGTCCATTGCCTTTCTTAAAGGTTTTCTCATTTTAAAAAATGCATTTTCAAACAGATAAGAGATAATTTTAAAAGGACAAAAAGTTCTGAATTTGTGCAGCTGTTTGGCAAAGACAAGATCATTTTAGTAATGTTGACCTTATCAACTGAACAATGCAGTGGCTACACTTTTAGACAGTCTTAATTTTACCTATACCAGTCAATAACTGTTGTCATATATAACAGTACTTTAAGCCTATATGTCCTGCCAAAAAAACCCCAAAACTGACAAAGATTTAAACTATTGTTTTTATTTAATTAAAAGAAAGTGAAGTAATTAAAGATACAGCTCCATCTTTCTGAAAAAAGAGGAAGAGGTCATTTGAACAGCTGACATAAACGAGAGAAGCAAAAGGGAATGTAAAAGTCTTATTCTGGACTTTGAATTGAAGGATGATTTATACCAAATAATTTCCTCATTCAGCCGACCAGCTTTTGGTTTTTTGGCAGTTCTAAGTGACCAGATCATGTCTTTGGTCTTTTTATTTAAATTATTTGTGGGTCATATGTATGATTTAGACAAGCTTTGAGGTACTAAATGTTTACCAGACAACTGCCTCTAAAAGCTGTCTGTTCTGTAAACCTGTACCATCTTAGATCATTTAATGGGTCTGGAGGAACCCATACAAGGATTTGTCTGACCAGATAGGTTAATACTTCAGCAGATACTCAGTGATACTCCTAGGTCACTACTTAGTTTTAGCCTAACACTGAATTATGTTTATTTTTCTGGTTTTTTTTCTGGGACAAAAATTTTTGTCTCTCTCTGCCAGAAAAAAAATATCATAGAGGCATAACTTCAAGAAAGGCAGTCCAAAGGATATTTCTGAAAATTATCTAGACATGACAGAGATTTCTAAAAATGGTAGTTTACATGGTATATGTACCAAATCACTAAGGAATGGAAGGAGTGGTGAGACCAAAGGAGATAAGCGCTCTGTGCAGGGCTTCTAGATTGATTTATTTCTTCCTGGTAATCTTTTCACACAGATTGGTCAGTTGTAAAATAATGTATGAACTGTTGGGAAGTTAGCAAAACATTATCCCAATCACCAGTGACAATGGATGCTTCCATCATTTGTTCCTGTGATATCTGACTGGAAAGACATTTTTTTAGGTGTTATTTTGCTATGGAGGAAGAAAGCACAGAAGGCAATCAGAATTTCTCTAATCCTCGTGCTATTTATGCATGATTTCTTCTTGCATTTATTGTTCTTCCAAGATTGATTGGCTAGCAATGGTAGGAAGTTTTTGGAATGCTATTCCTAATCACAATAAGAAATATTGTAATAGACTACACTGCTGAGATGAAGCAGGCAGTATGACACCTCAGCCATATGCAGTCCTATTTCAGACGGTAGTAGAGGCTAGTAGTAGAGCAGACAGTCCATACTATGTGTGGAGCACACTGGAAACAATGGAATAAGGATTTAAATCGTCCAGCCAAAGCAATTACTGGCATTCCCTTGGCGAGTGGTCTCTGCTGAGCTTGATGAGGGTTTCCATCTGAACTGAGGGGGCTTTAGAGAAGCCACCTGCCACCTTCCTTATGAAGATGTTAAAGATGTTCCTCTTCTCCCACTGTGCAACCTCCATA